AATCGAATGTATCATTGTAAATATCTAAGCTTGACCAATCTTCATCATTACATGAATATTTGACACTTCTTGCAGTCACATTCACCATCATCAGTTTCTTCAGGAACAGCCATGGTAAAGATGATAGAAACTGGGCTGGCTCAGCTGTCACTGACCTCATGTCAATCTGTAGCACATCCTTAAGTGAGAGTTTGTTCGGGTAGTGCTGCTCCAACCCCAAATCCTGTAAGAGGCTCTGAATGTTTGTTTCTGTTGAAAAAGCAAGTATTTGTTTATCATTTCATAATTTAATTAGATTTGATATTACTACAAAATTAAGAATGTAAAAAGAATGTTTTTAATGAAATTTGCTATATCATACTAACTGGTTTGAGTGTATGTGACTGCTGCTTTGCTTCGAAAGCCATTTGTAAGCACTATTGTATTGTGAAAAGAGTACTTATTCCCAGGATTTAGGTCACTGAAAACCACACTGCCTGATTGTGTCGTCTCTTCCTGAATGATTCTTCCATTCTGGTAGCAGACTATATGAAACTTCTTCTCTTCACCCCCAGATGCATCCCAAATAAGAGTAACTGATGTGGATCCCACACTCTCAGCCTTGAATTTGTCAGGTGGGACTGGCCCTGTAAATAAATAAATAAATACATAATACATACAAACATACATACATGCATGAATACTACTTTATGTTGCTACTTTTTCTCAGTTACAAATTTCATACCATTTTAAATAATGCAAGACAATTACTGGTGCATGCAGTCACTTCACTTCTGACACTTTGATTGCCATTTTCTGAAACTGAAACCAGACTGAATGTGTACTCAGTCCCTGGACACAGATCTTCTACTTTTGTGGCAGTGATATTGGTGACAGTGAAGGTCTTTGTTGTTTTAGGACTGAAGCAAGTCAACTCAAATGTAGCTATGTTGTCTGGACTGTCCCAAGCAAGAGTAACAGAACTGGTCCCAATAAGCTGCACTAAAATTTTACCTGGTGCAGGAACATCTGTGGAAACAAGAATCATACATTTTCAGCATCTGAAAGCAGTCTTGATAAAGTATTGCCAGTACTGACTAATTTATCACATTCAGCATATAGGGATGTTACCATTGCTTTCTGTACGTGATTCAACAACATGTATGGTTAAGAAGGGTTACAAACAGTCAACTTATAATTTTTTCTTTGGAATAATATGCACCAGTGAATCATGCACAATAAGACCAGAAATATGAAAATATAGGGTCAATTTTGGTTTCGTTTTGAGCCAAAAAACATAAAATGGTATCAACATATTTAGGCTGACAGTAACGCCAATTAAACATAATAAACTATAGTAATAATTAAAGTCATGGATACATTTTTTTCCAACATGTCTGCAAAATTTACATTTTAATGTAAATTATGGCCAGCATCTCATCATAGATTAAAGATGGCACAAGGGTAATTTTGTTACCTGGTAATTTGGCAACTTCTTCCTTTTGATATGACTCAAGAGAATGTGGACATGTTTGCTGTTTGTCTTCAGTGTCTTCACTAGCAGCTTCATTTGCATTTTCCTTCATTTGAAAGTTTTTTCGACGTTAGTGGCATGCAAACTCAGGTGTGTCAAGAGACTACATTTATTTAAATCCAAAGTTTCTGAAACTCTCAATGTTTTATCTAAGACATAATTTGCAAAGATAATTTCTCAAAATCTGCCTTATGAAGAAAACAAGATCTATTGCTTATTTCTAATATAACTTATAATAAGATGATCAAAAGACAAACTTAAGTACGTCGAATTATTTTAAATAGGTAGGCTATTCAAGTGGGTTTAATAGCCTGCAGTTCTTTTTGTAGTTTAGAATTTTTCAAAGGCTACTTACAACTGATGTCCACGCTTCCAGTAATGGAAAACCTCTGCATTTCTCAAGGCGTAACTCAAGGATCTTCTAATGCAACAATAGGCTAAGTGACGTTTAGCAGACTGAACCAAGCCTAGGCTATTTGAAATACATTTCGACACCGTACCCTGTTGTTTTAAGTGTTTTGTAAAAGCATGTGTTTATATTTGTATTGTCTCTGAATTAACGTTATAGTTTTAAAAACTTTACGTGTGTCCAAAAAAATAACAATAATGTTTTATTCAGTGGTTTGGTCCGAACGAAGGAAATAAAACGAAACTATTTACAAGTTAATCGAAACTTATCAGTTTCATGAAAATGTCCCCGCCCTCCTGCATAAGCCTGTTGGAAGGGCAGCCTTTTAGCTCAGATGTATTGTTTCTTCATACTTCTGCCTGAGTATTTACAGAAATGCCAGAATTCCTAAAGAACACTTTGGCATATGAGGCAATTCTGTGTGAGCATTTCCTGATTAAACCCATTGTCAATTTGTAAATTGTTGCACAGGATTTGATCTGTGCCTTTGTTTTGTTTCAAGAGACATAGCCTGCCCTACACTGATTGCCATTTCATTCAGCCAAATTCATTCATAAGCTAAATCTGTGATCATTCTTTTTTCAAAACCTCCCAGTGCTCTACTGGTCAGAAACACATGCTGTAGCCTATGACTGGCAGGATAAGAGAGTGATGCTTTGCATATGGTGGCTTTCACTCTTCTAAGTTATCAGTCTGGCTTGGAACACCATGGAAGAACAGATGGATCTGCCTGTCTTTCCATTTAAAAAATGGAATTTTTGTTACAAATACCGATAACTTATCAGCTTCTCACTTCTGATGGCTCTTTGTAAGATTTTTATCTTCAGGCTTCTTCTATTGACAGGTTTGTGTCTGGCAGGTGGCACAGTCTCTGACAGCTTTAAAGAATGCAGTCAGTTCTTCTACATGCATACAGTACCCACAGGTATCCGAGGGGACAATCTGAAGAGGATATGCCAACGATATGGAGATAAACTACGTTACGCCACACTGTATGACAGCAGTCGCCGTTTGGCGCTTTATTCGGCTTACACCTTCAAAAAGTCTGATGGACAGAGGAGGATGGACACACCCTGGATGTATGAACCACAGGTAGCAGATTGCCTTAGTTTTGTCTCTGGATATTTAAAAATAACAAATTAATAACTAAATGAATAAAATAATAATATGTGTATTTTATAAAATCATTTGAACAAAATAGTCTTTATTTTGACAACAGAGAATTCATCACATAACACTGTCCATATACTGTTGTTGTTCTGTCAATATGAGTTTCTATATGGTTTTTGATTGCCCACTTAACCCTGACCAGCACCAGGCGGACAACCAAGACAAAGCAGCTACCTATACTCTCACAAATGTGGTACCTCAGATCACAGACTTATTGGAGGGTCCATGGGCCATTTATATCGATACGGTACGCCGCCGCCTGAATAACTTCTGCCGTGGTGCTGCTTATGTGGTGACTGGGGTGACTGTATCAGGTGTGACCATCCGAAGAGGAAGAGAGGACCGCATGGCCATCCCAAAGCACTTGTGGTCCACTTATTGCTGTCCACGGTTTGATCGAAACTCACCCTATGATGTACGATACATGTTTCCCACATATGCAGCATATGCTTTGAATGAGATAGTGGGACACAGTGTTACAGAAGTGCCTTTGAAAGCTTTAGAGACCTTTCTGAAAAATCAGACTGGCATGGACAAAAGCGTGAACATCTTTTTCAAAGACTGTCTCACAGAAAATACACATACCAATAGCAAGTGAATGAAAGCGACTCAACACTGTAAAGCCTGACATGTGAAATAAATGTCAGAAAAATCTGTTCATTTTAAATGGAAAAATTTATTGAAATTTTAGGGGGGGAAAATATGCAATTTTTCAACAAATAAAATGTACATGTGTTTTTGTATGTATAGTGGGGATATGGAGCTCACACTCAAGGAGGAAAAAAACCTTCAGTTTATTCCCAAACTGAGCAAAAATTTTCATAAGGTTTTGATCATGTTGATATATTTTAGTATTAAGAAGAATTTGTGAACATTAAATGTAAGCATCTGTGCAATGATAATGAATTCAAGAACCAGTCAAGAGAATAATGTAAATAATAAAAAGAAATATAAGTCCAGTGAGTGTGGCTTGCAGAAATCGAATTCGAGATAGCTTTAGGAAACCAAGTGCCTGTGCTGTAATATTTTTTTATTTAATTTAATTTAATTAAAACTACACTACCTGAGAAGAGAATAAAGTCACCTATCAGACTTTGCCCTACTCTTTGTAGATGATTTCCATATTATCATGCCACACTGCAGAGCCAATTGTGTGTCCATGACATTACATAGCTTGTATTACTGCATTTAAATATCACTTTGTTGATATAGAGTGTACATGAAGTGAATTTAAAGATGTTTTAACTGCTGAAATTGTGAAAACTCAGTGGTGACTAATCATATAGTTACAGTTGGACGGTATGTGTAAGAGTTGTTGCCATTTTTACTGAACTGAGTACAATAGGTGCAACACGGAAAGATAAGTCAATTAACAGTCCATATAGCATTAACAATTTATACTTCTCACATTTACGAAGAAAACATTTGTCTAAAAGTATAGTTTAGTTAAATTTAAATTCACTGTTCTTTTCTATTACATCCTAGTCAGGCTCAGGTTGCTGGCAGACCAGAAAACTATATTCACCTTTAAGGAGCCAATGAACATTAGGCCAGCAGTGAGCAAATTGACCTTGCTGATTTGCATGTAGATGAGGATAATGGCACACTGAAGTTCGTCTTATCAGTTTCGAAGTTTGCATTATTGTAGATCAGACTATCCGAACATGGTTTTGCATGTACTTTGTACTCTGCATTAGAATTTTCAATGGCTCTCATTTTATTCTCCACCTACCAGTGAAGAGTCAGTCCATTTTAAATGAGATAAAGACAGTCAATTGGAGACAGTGAATAAACCAGCCACAGGAAAAGGAGCAACATTTGTTTCTGAAATTCTTTTTTTGTGATACTTTCAGTACAAAGAACATTTTGCAAAGAAGAAAGACGACAATTTAAAGTCTTTAGGACAACATGAAGCTCACGGTCTATTGCTGGTCCCGGTTTGGAACCCTGCTGATCTCACTGATGTGTTTGATATTAAGATCACAAGCCGGAGTGGTGGACGACTTCTCCCAAGTAGATCGCTGTAAGGATTTTCTTTATATGGGCACTCCACCACGAGGTTACTTCAGTACTTCCCTAAAGAAGATCTGCCAGCGCTATGTGAACAAGCCTCGCTTTGTTACCCTCTACGACCCCCAAAAACACATCCCCATATATTCAGCATACATCTTCAAGAAATCAGATGGGGAGAAACGGGTAGACATTCCCTGGATGTTTGAACCACAGGTGAGTGTGTGCTAAGAATACCATATTTAGTGTATTCTGTATTACACAATTGTTCAAAAATTTGAGGTCAGTTTATTAGAAAGATATTACTGCTTTTATTCAAAAAGGATGCAATAAATCAATACAGAATTTGCAATGCAAAAATGCAGGAAAGGCATTTTTAAAAAATTGTTTCAATTGTGTTTCTTTGGAACATTCCTGTATCACGTTTTCCACAATAATATAAAGCAGCACAATATTTTTCAACTTTGATAACAACAACAAAAATGTTTCTTGAGCACCAGAAAGCAGCATATTAGAATGATTTCTGAAGGATCATGTGACACTGAAGACTGGAGTAATGGCTGCTGAAAATTCAGATTTTCCATCACAGGAATAAATTACATTTTCTAACATAAAAATATCAAAATAAAAGCAGCCTGGGTGAGCATAACACCGTCTTTCCATTCTTTCAAAAGCATAAAATCTCACTCCTCAACTTTTGAATGGTTGCATGACTTTGCAATAAGTAAATAAATAAATAATCAGTTTCAATGCTAAAGTGATGTTTCTCTCCTGAAATGTTTAAATGTGATCTGGGTATTGTAATCACTACCTTTTGCAAGGGTGTTTATTCTTCTTTCTCTTCATGGATCTGAGAATCTAAACCCATCTTAATCTCATTTTCATCACCTGCATTTCTCATTTTGCACAGCTGGCAACTGAGAAAGGAAGCAGTAACATGGAACCCTTTCCTCAGTCTTCCTTAATGCACAAAAACTTTGAAGACACGCAGGCCGTGTTAGAAGACTACGCCGATGTAATGGCTCTCATTTTATTCTCCACCTACCAGTGAAGAGTCAGTCCATTTTAAATGAGATAAAGACAGTCAATTGGAGACAGTGAATAAACCAGCCACAGGAAAAGGAGCAACATTTGTTTCTGAAATTCTTTTTTTGTGATACTTTCAGTACAAAGAACATTTTGCAAAGAAGAAAGACGACAATTTAAAGTCTTTAGGACAACATGAAGCTCACGGTCTATTGCTGGTCCCGGTTTGGAACCCTGCTGATCCCACTGATGTGTTTGATATTAAGATCACAAGCCGGAGTGGTGGACGACTTCTCCCAAGTAGATCGCTGTAAGGATTTTCTTTATATGGGCACTCCACCACGAGGTTACTTCAGTACTTCCCTAAAGAAGATCTGCCAGCGCTATGTGAACAAGCCTCGCTTTGTTACCCTCTACGACCCCCAAAAACACATCCCCATATATTCAGCATACATCTTCAAGAAATCAGATGGGGAGAAACGGGTAGACATTCCCTGGATGTTTGAACCACAGGTGAGTGTGTGCTAAGAATACCATATTTAGTGTATTCTGTATTACACAATTGTTCAAAAATTTGAGGTCAGTTTATTAGAAAGATATTACTGCTTTTATTCAAAAAGGATGCAATAAATCAATACAGAATTTGCAATGCAAAAATGCAGGAAAGGCATTTTTAAAAAATTGTTTCAATTGTGTTTCTTTGGAACATTCCTGTATCACGTTTTCCACAATAATATAAAGCAGCACAATATTTTTCAACTTTGATAACAACAACAAAAATGTTTCTTGAGCACCAGAAAGCAGCATATTAGAATGATTTCTGAAGGATCATGTGACACTGAAGACTGGAGTAATGGCTGCTGAAAATTCAGATTTTCCATCACAGGAATAAATTACATTTTCTAACATAAAAATATCAAAATAAAAGCAGCCTGGGTGAGCATAACACCGTCTTTCCATTCTTTCAAAAGCATAAAATCTCACTCCTCAACTTTTGAATGGTTGCATGACTTTGCAATAAGTAAATAAATAAATAATCAGTTTCAATGCTAAAGTGATGTTTCTCTCCTGAAATGTTTAAATGTGATCTGGGTATTGTAATCACTACCTTTTGCAAGGGTGTTTATTCTTCTTTCTCTTCATGGATCTGAGAATCTAAACCCATCTTAATCTCATTTTCATCACCTGCATTTCTCATTTTGCACAGCTGGCAACTGAGAAAGGAAGCAGTAACATGGAACCCTTTCCTCAGTCTTCCTTAATGCACAAAAACTTTGAAGACACGCAGGCCGTGTTAGAAGACTACGCCGATGTAGTGCAATATGAACGTGGCCAAATGAACCCCGATGAGCATCAGGCAGACCCGCTGGACAAAGCTGCCACCTACACACTGACCAATGTAGTTCCCCTGATAAGGGAGTTCAATTTTGGTCCCTGGAGCACACAGGTAGAGGTTACCCGAAAACGGCTTAACAATTACTGTCACGGAAAGGCTTATGTGATCACTGGGGTGACAACATCAGGTAATATGATTCGACGTGATAACCTAGATCGTGTCGCCATCCCAGAGTTCATGTGGACAGCCTATTGCTGCACAGATTATGATCACAATGCTCCCTACTCAGAGCGGTATAAGTTTCCAGCGTTCGGCGCCTACGGTCTTAATGATCGCGTGAACAACCACATGGTGGAGGTTCCTATCAAAAATCTGGAGAAGTTTCTCAAGGGCAAAATGGAGGTGGACAAGAACTTCCAGATCTTTTACAGTGACTGTGTGTCAGATGCGTAAAGATTAGAATTGGATAATGAACCAATCCAAGGGGTTCATTATCATAAGAATTGCAGATACTACATTAAACTTCATATAAAATAATATGCATTGCATTTGTGTATAATGAATGGTAATGTTTTATTTCATCGAATTATAGGAATAGTTTGCTCAAAAAATGAAAATTCTGTCATCATTTACTCACCCTCATGTCATTCCAAACCTGTATGAGTTTATTTCTTTTGTTGAACATACTAGAAGATATTTTGAAGAATGTGGGTAATTGGTCCCCCTTAACCATAGTATTTTTTTTCATACTATGGAAGTCAATGGACTGTTTGGTTACCCACATTTTGTGTTCAGCAGAAAAAAGAAACTCATACAGGTTTGGAACAACATGATGGTGAGTAAATGTTGACGGAATTTTCAATTTTGCATGAGCTATCACTTTAAGGCATGTAAACCATTAAAACATACTGTACAAGCTGATGTAAACTACTAACTACATCTATGTGCTAAAAATTTACTAAGCTTCATTTCTGGTCTTCATTTCTGATCTTTACCTTTATTAGAGCCTATAGATGTTAGTATGTTGTATAACATGCTGTACTTCCCATCTGTAGAGCTAAAGCACATTTTGGGTAAATTAATTAGATTAAATGACTATGAATGTAAACAGAACAGACAAACTTCAGGATGCTGTCTCATCTGTGAAATAAATATTAAAATAAAAAAGTCACGTGGTTCATTTATCAGTTCGTTGTCATGGTTTGATATTCAAATACTACTTTGCTCTTGCTGCGACAGCTTTGAGGCACATGTTAATGCAAGAAATAAATGATCATAGATGTCAATGCCATTTTTATTTAGTTATTTTAATCATGTGATTGGGTGAAACAGAAAAATTACTAATTTTGGATATAAGGCTAAAGAAACTGTGCATTTTATAGGATATTTAACCTAACAATAGTCCTTGTTCCACCCGTATCTCTGGATTAAGACAACGCATATTGTCAAGTCAAGTCAAGTCACCTTTATTTATATAGCGCTTTTAACAATACAGATTGTGTCAAAGCAACTGAACAGCATTAATTAGGAAAATAGTGTGTCAATAATGCAAAAATGACAATAGTATACAGTGAATATATGTTTAAAGGCAGTTCATCATTGAATTCAGCGATGTCATCATCCAGCTCAGTTCAGTCTAAATAGTATCTTTGCAATCATTTGCAATCAAATCAACGATATCGCTGGAAATGAAGTGTACCCAACTAAGAAAGCCAGAGGCGACAGCGGCAAGGAACCAAAACTCCATCGGTGACAGAATGGAGAAAAAAACTTGGGAGAAACCAGGCTCAGTCGGGGGCCAGTTCTCCTCTGACCAGACAAAACCAGCAGTTCAATTTCAGGCTAGCAAAGTCACATTGTGCAGAGGAATCATCTGGTTCCTGTGGTCTTGTCCCGGTGGCCATCTAGGAGACAAGGTCTAGAGGTCCTCTCTAGGTGCTGATCCACCATCTGGTCTGAATATGTACTGGATCCGGGTGACTGCAGTGACCATCTGATCTGGATACAGACTGGATCTGGTGGCAACGGTGGCCTCGGAATAAGAGAGAAACAGACTTATATTAGCGTAGATGCCATTCTTCTTCTAACGATGTAGCAAGTACATCATATAGTATGATATATGATGTAGCAAGTACATCGGGTGTTATGGGAAGTGTTCCCGGTTCCGGTTGACCTAATTAATGCAGCCTAAAAATCCTTTAACGGATTTGAATATTAGAAGCGTATGTGTGTCTGTGTGCAGAGTGTGTCTGCCTCCCGAACAATGTTAGGTAGGTTATTAAATAGGAAAAGGATCTGCCGCCCGCCGTTGATTTTGATATTCTAGGTATTATCAAATGGCCAGAGTTTTGAGAACGCAGCGGACGTGGAGGACTATAATGTAACAAGAGCTCGTTCAAATACTGAGGTGCTAAACCATTCAGGGCTTTATAAGTAATTAGCAAGATTTTAAAATCTATACGATGTTTAATAGGGAGCCAGTGCAGTGTTGACAGTATTGCAGTATTGTAAAAATCCTCACATACAGATTACAATATAGACAAGGGGAGAAAAACCAACACTGTCACTTCTTAGCAGTAAGAGGGAAACAAAGATTGTAGAAAGAGCACTGATCCAAAGAACCAACTGCTTTCCATGAAACCCAACCTTGACTTTGCACTGACTTTTTATCCAAGGGACAGCTGAAGTAATGAGGGTCCATAACAAGCAAATAACTCCCCCGTTTACCAGTGCACACACATAAGATGCCCTTAGAGGAATTGTCTCTGTCTCCTCCCATCATAACAGGTGACCCACGGGTAAGGAAGTGGTCATGAAGATCTTTTACGGCTTGATCAAGCTCCTTGCCATACCGCACATGCACTATGCGGCAGGGAACATCATAGAGCTGGTCAAGAACAAGACTTGCCTCAAATGTTCCAATCCACTCCCTGGATCCAAGGAATGCATCAGGTTTGTCCCCTATTTCCACCAAAGTTTGTTGTATTTCAGAAAGACTAGGTGGGTGTCTGTGGCTCACACTGAGAGGTTGATTAAAACTCAACCATGAAGCCATGGTCTGAATATCCACAACCCCAACCTCTGTCATCCTTGCCATCACAACCATAATGATAATAGAGGCACTCTCCTGATATCACTGAGCACCTGTCACAATCTGGAGATAGCTGAGGTAGCCCGTCATGTGCGTTCTTTACTAATGTATCCTTCCATGTTTCGTTATCGGCTGTCATCGGAGTTTGTCCACAAACATGTCTACCCCAATCTATACACTCAGTTTTCTTATGTGCCCCTCTTTCCATGTCTGCACGTGTATATAAGTGCCGATAGCTACCGTTCACACACTAAAAATACTAATGAACGTTTCATGTGGTTTCATCTGGACACAGACGTCCATCTATGAAACACTTCCTTCTGGTGTATGAGCTCGTTCTAAAACAGTTCTGCCCCAAATTCGTGCTTTCCCCGAATTTGTGTTTTACACACACTAAAGTGTGATCATAATCAAATAAACAATGAATAGCGTCTATAAATACATCTCTGGGTATTGTAAAAAAAATAATAAGTAGCTACTGTAGGCTCTGTGTGCGAGCCTGTGTGTAAACCTTTTGGACAATTGATGAGAGTGGATAAAGAGTGATACGTGACCATAAACACTAAAATTAGATGTAGGAAACTACAGTTAACAAAAC